AGGTGCATCTTAGAAATATTTATTTAAACATTCTGTCGAAACAATTTAAATAATAAGTGTGATTATATTCCCAGACTCTCGGATCACAAGAGCTGAGGAAAAGGCAAATGCACAAAAAGGGGTCTTAGTTCGTTCATCCTGACTAAATTGTAATAAACTCACGCGCTGTTTTATTAGTTTCCGCAAAAGAGCAAAACACAGTGTTTTCAGAGCTCGCGCTAATGATCCTCACGCGCAACACACGCACTTCCTGAAAAACAAGCAGCCATACTGTCTACATCTGCACTAAAAACGGCTAGTCATTTTTAGAAAGCAAAATACAGACAACTGTTTTGATGAAAAATCAACATCTATATCTGTAGATTTAAAAAATCGTAATAATTTGTATCCATCATGTTATGCTGAAATTTACTTTATTATATTATGTATGTGTAAAAATAACAGCAATTTCGAAATTAACCTCTTGTCCCACATTATTATAATGCTCCTCTGACCAAACCAAAACACACGCAGACATTACAGAAACCTGAACCCAATCTGTTATATCAAAGTTGGCATGCATTTTTCAGAAATATGACTGTTTAGTAACGTTTCTGCTTCGGATCGATTTGACCCCAGCAAAACAATAAAACAAAAAAAGAGAAACATTGTAGAAAGTACAAGAAAAACAAAACCCCCCCAAAAATGCGTTGTTGTTTTTCTTTTTTTTTAATAAGCATTTGTGCATTTCCTCAGGCTACATGAGGACTCTGAGACCCAAAACATACGTATCCTCATGTAACATTTATTGAAGCGTTTCATCAATTTTGTTTAGAATCAGTTATCATACGATTAGGAACATTACAAATGTTAATTATTTAGTCGATCACTTTAAGAAGCCTATATTTTTCGATCTATTAAATTGGCCGCGGTGTATCAGACCCCAAACATGAGAGTTACTACAAATAATAATTAATATTAAACAATATTAAATAATTTTAAAAGCAACAATCAGACAACGCACAGCCTACTAAATCGTTCCAACTATGTAATTGTGTGCGCAAAAGCTTTGCGAGAGTCAGTCAAAAGCTGCACTCCAAACACTGATATTATATAACAAGAGTCGGTTCATTCATCACACCAGATGACACACTCGCGCCCTCGCACCTTGAGCAGATATCTGTCCAGGATCTCGAGGCCGCAGCTCGCGCACACGTTCTTCCCGGTGGACGGCACGGAGGAGACGCAGGAGATGGGCGAGCAGACGGACGGCGTCGAGGGCGGACTGGGCGAAGAGCGAGGGTCCTCTTTCTCCATATTAGACCTGTGAGATTCTCCGTCAGACTGTGACTGCGAGAGGAAAAAGCGCGATAAATATCACACTCTGGAAAGTATGAGGTTCAGAAGGTTGACAGGAATTTTCTGATGTAAAAAAAAAAAAAAATGTAAAAATCTAAACTGAACACTTAAACAGCAAGCAGTGATTTGCTGCACTTTCCCCCGAGCATTTCGAATTGAATTCGTGATGAAGAAAATCGAAACCTGAAATAGTCGCGTCAACTTAAATATAAATAAAGAGGCTTTCTAAACATCTGGACATTTAGTGACATTTGTAACGCTAATAATATAAAAGCGGTTTACAAATCCAAGTTGAAATAATCCACAAAATTGCATTAGGTTACATCAGTAAAGAGTGTTATGGTATGTTATGTCTGAAGGCGTTTTCTGCTAAAGCCAATCTCTCTGAGCTATAGCAGAGATCGCTCCTCACCATCGCGCGACCGTGCGATGCTCCCGGTGTGCTGTGCGAGTCTGGAGAGATCCTACAACACAGTCAAGCCACAGTGCTCCATGTCAGGCACGGTCCCTGCTCTATATATGCGTCCAAATACAATAAAAACGCTTTTAACTGTGCATTGAGAGCCTCCAAACAAAAAGCCCCTGTTTTAATGAAGCGATTTAAATTTGGATTGATTTTTTCCCCCACACTTAACCCGTGCCTCTTCCCATAATCGTATTTCCACGCAATCCAGGGAGCTGCAAAAAAATAAACTACCTGCAATTACAAATAGCTTGAAATGCTCGCGATAAGAGGACCCCAGAGTGTCAATTTCAACTGCCAATCAGAGAAAGCAACGGGCCACCCAAAGAATTGCACATTTGATTTTTAATGGCAGTAATTAAAATCTAATTTTTCCTCTGCAGACTTGGCATGTGAAGAGGATGGACCGCGAATCACACCATTCAGAACAGATCCTGATTCTCACGACATCACTTTAAGGTGAAGATGCCACAGGCTGCAGGAGATGATATATAGCCTAGAGGACTTTAACGTCGAGCAACATGTTGGCTGCTTCTCCAGTGAAACGAAGTTTTTCTTTCTATGCCGTTAAATGGATAATAATAATAAGCACGACTGCATTATAGTCCACACTTGAATAGGATACGCTAAAAGTCTTACCTGTTTTGAGGGAATTCCTTCGGATAGAAACTGATTTCCCTCTGATAGAGGGGCCAAAGCCTCATTTTTCCAATACATTTGACGGCTTAACCTTCTTCTTTCGATATCTTCAAATTGCTTCAAGCTTGTTCTCTTAAAGATTCGTTATCCAATGCGGTCAAAATCGGTCTAATATGAACCCAGTTCGCCGTTTCCTTCCGTGCAGTCAATCAATAACGATCGGTAAACTAACAAAAACGTCTAAAGCAAGTTTCGTGATTGGTCAGTAAAGCGGCAGCAGACGCGCCGAGCGCGAGCGGTTCGTCGGGACGCCTTATTTAGAACCGTTTGCAGGATATTTGCTACTTTTTCCCCCCTTTTGGGATGCAGTTGCTTGAGTACAGGAAGTGGAGAAAATTGAGGGGCTGGCAGGTTTTGCTCCTGCTCTCCTCATAGGCAGTCAGAGCACAGCCTACCTTCTGAAAGTTTACAGATCAGAGGGGAGGGAAGAGATGTGGCCTGAGTATGTATCGACATTTTGTGATGCTGAAACCTTGCGTGATGTTTGGGTTTTAATTGTCGGACACATTAGCGATTAAAAAATGATATTCGACATTCGAAAGTCAATATTTAGCCTATCAGGGCTGTTAGTGGTATCGAGCGTATGAGATTTAATAGCAAAAATAAGTTTCAATATGCAATTTCAAAGATTTTAAAGAATATTTCATATCACGTTTGATTCATAAATTATATGAAATAGGCCATGCTTGATCTTCCAGTTTGTATGCAAAAACAGGAGGTTGCAGTATTTGCGGTTGAATGTTACTGAAAAACTAAACAGTAATTTTCTGTACTTTATTTCAGCATTATATTTTCTCAGATATTTTTTTCTTAACAATAATTTGATGAAAACAAAATGATGAAAATAGCATTTGAATAGCATTCAGTTTAAATTTTTTGTTAAATAATGAAAATAATTAACATGGGTGATTGATTTTGTCAGTTATTTTTTATAGTTAATCAAAAAAAATTACCAATGTTTTTTAAATTCTGATCCCTAAACCTACCATCTCCACCCCCTAGATGTGGATCCAACTCCTCCCCCTGGATCTTTGTTCTGCAGTGAGGGGCTACTGCACATGGCTCCGGGGGATGAACAAAGGCCTCCTGTAGTGAATCGATGCATT